CAGGCACAGTGAGGGAGCTTGCAACATCAACCACAGCATTGCATCAATTTCAACTTTGATGCTTGCTGGCCTTCATAACCAGTCTCCTCTAGTATGTTTTAAATAAAACACCCTACCTTTTACTTGGTAACATACTGTAGTAAATGACTTGTGAAGTTATTACCTGTAACCTTTAGCAAGACTTTAATTTCACCAACTGCTCTTGAGCATACGATAGCTACAATCCCAGTATTATTGTTCTGCTGATTTATGGCAGCTAATCCTGAATGAAAGAGAAGCACGTATCTTATTGCAAAATTACTACTGACCATTGATTTTTTCCATCATTCACTGAAATGACTTAATTGATCTGAATACGTATGCACAGTCGGAGTTGTTGTATCATCTATTAATAAATTTTTCGTGTTACATGTTACCCATAAATATCTTAATTTATACTGTCTATCCTTCAACAATTAGCCATGGGCTCTTTTTTTGCACCAAAAGTGGACGATCATTCAAGGACAGCGATTATTTGAGGAGGAAAATATACCTTCCCTTCCTTCAGCTCCATGATCTGACGGTTGGACCCAAAATATAAAGTTTTCATTCACCAGCTTAGCAATCTCACTGTTCTCAAAAATGGGCCTGAAAGATCAAAATTTATGCATAGAAGCACATTGCACATATTTTATACATTCATTGTCATCAGACTTGTACTCTGATCTGGTTGTGATCTATTACATCTATTCACATAATCAACAACCACAGCTATTTAAATAAGTACAAATAGACCTCTTACAGCCAGTTTTAATTAACAAAAACAATGTTTGGGAAGATATAAATTTCCAAAATGGTTAAGACATAAAAGCAAGGCATCTACAATACCTCCAAAGAAGCCACTGACGTTCACTACAAATACACACAAGCGCAGGTCTACCCAATTCTCCATCCAATCTTGACATTTCCATAAGCTAAAAATGAAACATGGAAAATATATGTATAAAATGGATCTGTACACATAATGAAAACTTAAGAAACAAACAATAATAGTAGTAATAAAAAATTAAAATACCGCCAACAACAATACTAATAGCAACCACAAAAATAACAATTACCGTATGGAAGGTACATGGATGACTGAAAGGAAGACTTGGATAATGTGTCATTCGAATAGATGACTCCAACGGACTTAGTACGTGACCTGCAAAACAACAAATTGAAATAATTTTTGTAAATGAAAACAGAAACTCCCAAACTATTCGACTGGTAGTAAAGATGTGTTTACAGTACATCTTCTAGGTGATGTTTATAATTCGGCATGTCTGTTAAACATGTTTTGATTAATAGAAAATGGGATGGAGTGATATCGAAGAATTGTTAAGTTCAAACCAATGTGACCTGTTAACATGAACAGTGGGTTTTATTTTAACTTTCTACTTACCCTGATTTTCAGGTATTAGATCAAGTAAAACACTAGCCTCTGGTAATTCGATGACACCTATTCAGAAGAAAATAATCAAACATTTTTTAAAAGGGATTTGTACCAAGTTTCTTGACTGCAGAAATTATTTTTATTATTTATAATACTTATTCTATTATTTTAATATTATTTTGTTGTACATGGATGTTTGCTGCTGATCAATCTGATAAAGTTGAAATTTTATGCCTAAATAAAGCCATTCATACAGATACATTTATAATGCACGATTTTCATTATAAAAAAAAAGAAAAGAAAAGGAATACGACATAACCTGTAGCTGGTGCACTTGGTGCTGTTACTGACAGTCTGGAAATGCCTGCTGTAGTGATAGTAACTGAAGCACTTGAATGAAAATCTGCAAGATATTATTTATGTTTATCTTAATCACAGACAAATACATAGCCTTTAACTTTATATTCTCAACATACTTTAAATAGTTATCATACTGCTAGACACCATTGCGAGTCCTGCAAACTGACGTCTATATTGACATTACCAAAAGTTCAGATTTACAGAATTTTCAATTGATACGTTTTTAAAAAAAAATTAATAGACCTCCTTTGCTTCTGGTATTTTTCACAATTATCTTATTAACTACTCACTTATCTCGAGAAAGAATATAATTTTCAATTTCACTTCATGGTATGCTTCCAATATTCTTAATAGCAATTAAAGGAAATAAAACATCATAATAATTATTATAGTACTCTTTCTGTTCCGCTGGCCCATGTCACAAAAGCTCCCTATGAAAAAGACACTTTTCTGGTCACAGCCATCAGTATTCTATCTGTTGGAAAAGATTTATATTAAAATCCCACATTTTCACTTACAACATACCTGAAGTTGAACCTGAACTCACTGAGAGTGCACTGTTGGATCTGGTTCTATCTATGCTAAGTCCAGTGCCATCATTGACACTCTCAATATCAGCTGAAACGGCTGGAAGTGAAGCACGCCATCTTCGCCCCCTATCTGCCAAGGTATTCTCCCCATCTGCCACAGACAGAGCTGTAGATGGTGTTGCAGTGGTAGATTCATTGCTACGGCTCCTAGCATCAGCACCAACAACTGCAGTAGGAGAGATATGCACACCAAGGCGCCCAGGTCTATTCACAGATGTTACTGTGCTGGAGACGATGTTGCTTGTTGGGGTGCTTGCAACACTTCCATGTCCAGCCTCTGAGCTAACAACGGGGGTGGCTGATGCTGGATTAATTAGTCTGTTGCTAGTACTAATGGTACTTGTTGCAACAGTGGTGGTTGGAGTTGTCACCATGCTAGTTAAACCAGCATCAGCACCAAATGTGTCAGGTGCAGAGGAAACACGACCACTTGATGTCCCTGTGACTATTTCAGAGGTATGAGAGGAGGTTGAAATGGCTAGTGGAGACCTACTGGTACTGCCCTGGTCAGTTCTGGTCCCCATGCTTGTTACAGAGGTATGACTGGTTAGAGATCTAGACCCCCCCGTGATTGAATGGTACTCTCTTGTTGCGGTGGCAGTTGCCACGCTACTAGTGGAGGTTGAAACAGTGCTACGACCACCCACAGAGGTATGAGGGGAGGTTGATACAGGCGATGGAGACCTCGCCCTGTTGCTCTGGTCCCTTCCCGTCCCTGTATCAGTTGCAGAGGTACGAGTGGAGGTTGATACAGGTGGTGGAGACCTCGCCCTGCTGCTCCGGTCCCTTCCCGTTCCTGTATGAGTTGCTGAGGTATGAGTGGAGGTTGATACAGGTGATGGAGACCTCACCCTGCTGCTTCGGTCCCTTCCCGTCCCTGTACCAGTTGCAGAGGTACGAGTGGAGGTTGACACACGTGGTGGAGACCCTACCCTGTTACTCTGGTCCCTTCCCGTCCCTGTATCAGTTGCAGAGGTATGAGTGGAGGTTGACACAGGTGATGGAGACCTCACCCTGTTACTCCGATCCCTTCCCGTCCCTGTATCCGTTGCAGAGGTACGAGTGGAGGTTGAAACAGCCAGTGAAGGCCTTACTGTGCTGTTCCGGCCCCTTCCCATCCCCGCATTAGTTGCAGAGGTATGAGTGGAGGTCGAAACAGCTGGTGAAGACCTCACTCTGCTGTTCTGGTCCCTACCTGTCCCTGTGGCATTCACTGAAACTTGTGTGGGAGCTGTCACCATACCACTTGCCACTAATGAGGTCCCACCTGATCTTGAAGAGACCCTGGTGCCCAAAACCGATGTTGTTGTTGTCACTGTATGGGTGGAAGTTGAAATAGCTAGAGGGGACCTAACACTTCTTGTAGCAGTGGCAGTTGCTGAACTGCGTGTTGAAGCTGTCATCAAACCTCTTGCTACTAATGAACTGTCTTTAAATGTACCACTGGATCTTGCCCGAGATACACTTCCTGAGGTTCTGCTATTTACTCTTGACTGAGTGCGATGAGATGATCTCTGAAAGACATCAAAACTGTATCAAAATTGTATCATCAGCAGTATCAAACAGTCAATTATTAACGTGCCACTGAAAAGATACAGTTCACAACAGATTAATAGTCAATAAATTATAGAATTATTAAGTTTCATTAGTCGGTATAAGACAAGTAAATGTGTTTGCTATTGAATTGGTGTTGTGCATATAGTTTACAACTACATCATTCACTGGTATTAAAATGTGTAAAACTAGACGTAATTACCAGTTCTTGAAGTAATGTTTAATCAACAGACAAAGTCAGTCAAAGGTAGACTTTGTCCTGTCAAATTATTCCCACCCCCTAGAATTACGGTTATAGTAAGTTGTTTTTGTTTTTATTTAGCTCCCGTAAGGTAAGAAAAGAGTGAAATAATACCGATGTGGTAGGATCTTCAAAGAGGCGTAAATAAAGGGAGCCTTGTCCAGCAACTTTGTGGAGTTCCCTTGCTGTAAATCCATGCGCTGGGGGATTAGCAGGCACCAGATTATTTCGAGCAGTTTTGTCAGTGACCAAAACTTGAAATGGTGGATTGCCATGACCATGAGATTGTCTAGGTAATATATAAAGAAAAGCTGATGAATACAGGTTATGACTGCAAAGTTTCCATGTATATTACTATACACATTGTAGTTCTTAACTATCCAAAGAAATTGACCTTTTATCTACAACAGAATTAGCATTAGCATAAACTACTTGATGTAATTAAGTACTTTGAATAGGAGACCATTATTTCAAAGGAAAATAAAGACTTTGAAAGTAGTCTTGTATTGCATTTTAACAACAGGTTTTGAATATTCAGAGATTGTCTTAATAAAATGTCTTTGACATAATGTTATTAAAAGGTGTAGAAGCAGCTAAAAGTTAACTGCAGGAAAATTTAGTTGGATAAAGACAGCTTACTACAAAATTTAAAACTACACTGGAAACAATATGACATATTTTAAGAAGTGATTTTTATACTCAGATTTTGTTCAATGAAAACCTGGCCTAGCTGGCTTCATAATGCCCATTTCACATTTTCACCCAAAAATACCCCACTGCGACAAACATAAAAAAAGGGGGGGGGGTTTAAGAATTTGGAAACAAACAAGCAACAAGGAATAATGTTATACTTACTGTAATTCACACCATACATGTATATAAATATACCACCAACCTGGCTCTGGCTCTGAAGTGGGGAAAGGCACTGGTCAGTTTTTTTTGTGCTTCTGGTCCCTGTGCTCCACGTGGTATTGAAATCTCAACAATACGACCATCCTGTCGAAGTGCATCTCGGAATTTCCGCCGAGGAATGATGTCAACACCAGGGTCCAGCAGGACAACATTGAAGCTGTACATGTTTTGAGGTTGGGTTGACCTGCTATGGCCAGGGCTGCTTTCATCTTCCGACAGAACTGAGTGGACATCACCTGCCCTTTGCAACCCTGAAGAAATACCTGAAAAACTTTCCCTAACCCGATGTGCTAAGTTTCTTGTGAAAGACAGGACCTTTTTTAATAAATGACAAGACAATTAATATCAATATAAGCGTTTTTGGGCCATTCGCCCTAAAGAAGGCAAGTATATGTGGTCTAAATATAGGTGAAAAACAATCACACTCCTCAATTGTGTTGCATATGTCTTTACTACAGTATGTTCTCAATTTATGCCTGCAATAGGTGATACACATGTTATAAAGGAGGATATATTCTCCCGGTTACGAAGCTGATCGAATAGACTTCTACTGCTAACTTTCGTTAGTCTATGACTGTTGTTTATTCATCTTGATCAGACTTTCTTTCAAAGTATTCTCCTCGATGTTCTTCATACATGTATCATATTACTAATATTGTTTCTAGAATTCTATAAAATTATGAGAACCCTGCTAAGTTAACCTGTGAAATAAAATTATGCCATGATTACACTGGTGGACATTGGTGTAACTTAATTAGAACTGTGGCTGAAAAAAGGGGCGGTTATATTGGAAGGGGAGACTGTGATGAAAATCAACATGAAAACTAGAAAAGGCCTCATAAAGCCAGTGAAACCACATGTCACCCAAAGATTAGTGTGTTGTAAGGCATGGGGGCTTGAACAGTACACACTTTTTTAGAATTACGACAACTTTAACTTCTTCTAATAAAAATTTATTCCACAAAAAGGTAAGACGTAAACCTCACTGCACTTACCTCACTGCTAGATGAATCCTCCACAGGCTGGTCCAACCTGATATCATATTCTGACTGCAAAGGATAAAATTAAACTTTGGTTAATGTATTCAACCTTGGATGATTTTTAATTTCCTGTCTCCTCATCTTGACTATTCTTGAATTAGGGCTGGGAGACAAAGGAAATTGAGGATTAGCGACTACTCTTCTGCAAACACAAATCATACACAATAGAGTTTCCACTTACAGTTTCATCGGGGCTAGTTGGTCCATGGAGGTAACTCCTCAGATTATCCAGTAAGTCAAAATCAGGAGAAGCCTATGCAACGATATATTTACGGTTAAGAATCTTAATGCGTAGTTCCAGAAAATATCCATGTGAGATAATTTGTGAGATAGCTAAGGAGTCATGATTTCCGAAATGCGCTCGTAAAACTTGCATTATAAGACTTCTTTATGCATGTTCAAGGAACGCTTACTAACTAGATTGTACAAGTGAAGAAATCAATTCTAACCAAGTCAAGGTCGTGGTCCATTTCGACTTCTCCCTCTGATGGTGATCGCTCCCAGCTATTCAGAGAAATATCATCATCTGCCCTCTGTCAAGAAAAAAAAGAGTTGTAAGCGCCTGATTTATTAATATCTGTGGTTAGAATATTGGATGATAAAAAAGAACGATCGATTAAAACTAGACTTAAAGCCAATACTAACTATGCAACATAAAGGGTCCCGTAGGCGTATAAGCTACAGTCTCAGTCAAAATTTTGTGTCTCCTTGTCCCCTCGATGTTGGTGTACAAGGTTTGGCGACTGAACCGCGATAAACAACTTTGAGAGGGACAAGGGGAGAACGAGAAGGAAAAAAACAGCGTTTGGTCTAAGTGTCTAAACTATTTCTGTCTGAGACTGTAGCTATCTACAGAGGAAAAACTGGCAGGAAATTCGAATCCTGCGAGCAAGCTGACCGTTCACACTGTTTACTGAAGACTTACGCTTCGTTCGCTTCGTTCGCTTTCGCTGATATATTCAGTAGCACCACCAGAGGGACTTGGAGGAGAACTCATCGTCGTTGAATTAATCAGTACTTCCAACCACAAAGAAAAAAAAGAAAACTTCGAAAGTTTTACTAGTAAACTAAGTTGTAGACCTCGCGATGATTAGGAATAGTCAACCGCCGAGTCAACGGGGATTAAGAACTTCACAGGGCCATGCCATGTTCATGTGAAACCGTGCTCAACTTGTCAATCAAAAGTAACACAAAACTCCCCCCCGCCCCCCGCCCCGCCAAAAAAGTAATAATAATACAGTGAATGAAACAACTGTTTTTACACTTTTTGATACAGTCAAAAGTGCTTTGACAGATTGTTATCGAGCAATTAGCTGTT